TTCCCACAGAGAAGAAAACAGAAAGAAAACAAAGGAGAACGGATTTACAAAGAGCAAACAAAGGCAGAGGCTTTGCCGAAGAAGAAGAAGATGATGATGATGATGATGAGGGACCATGGATCAATTTTACACGCGAAGAATGGTGGGACTACCAAGCTCGATATTGTCAACAACAAGGAACTGGTAGATCTACATCCTCATCCCAATACTGGAGACCAAAGAAGCGATGAGTGCATACTTCTGCTAAGTGAAGATAACACCAGATGAATTTTTCTCTGTACAGTGTTCAACTTGTACTTAGGACATTTTGATTTCACGCGGTGTATATACTCTTGCAGATAGAGTTTATACGTTTTCTGTGTTTTGATCACAAATGGTATATGCTCTTGCGAAGAAGAACTAATACCATCTCCGTGTACAGAGTTTCGTCGTTTCGATGAATGATATATGCTCTTGTGAAGAAGAGATTATCAAAGGAAGTTTAGTGGGAGAAACTTCCGTGTTACGGACTTTTAGAATGTCAGGGAAAGAGTTAGTCAAAGAAAGAGTTAGTCAAAGAAAGAGTTAGTCAAAGAAACAGTTAGTCAGGGAAAGAGTTAGTCAAAGAAAGAGTTAGTCAAAGAAAGAGTTAGTCAGGGAAAGAGTTAGTCAGGGAAAGAGTTAGTCAAAGAAAGAGTTAGTCAAAGAAAGAGTTAGTCAAAGAAACAGTTAGTCAGGGAAAGTTAGTCAAAGAAAGAGTTAGTCAAAGAAAGAGTTAGTCAAAGAAACAGTTAGCCAGGGAAAGAGTTAGTCAAAGAAAGAGTTAGTGAGGGAAAGAGTTAGTCAAAGAAAGAGTTAGTGAGGGAAAGAGTCAGTCAAAGAAAGAGTTAGTGAGGGAAAGAGTTAGTCAAAGAAAGAGTTAGTCAGGATATATGAGGTAGTCAAAGAAAGAGTTAGCAAAGAAACAAGTTAGTCAAAGAAAGAGTTAGTCAGGATATATGAGGTAGTCAAAGAAAGAGTTAGTCAAAGAAAGAGTTAGTGAGGGAAAGAGTTAGTGAAAGAAAGAGTCAGTGAGGGAAAGAGTTAGTCAAAGAAAGAGTTAGTCAGGGAAAGAGTTAGTCAAAGAAAAGAGTTAGTGAGGGAAAGAGTTAGCAAAGAAACCGTTAGTCAAAGAAAGAGTTAGTCAAAGAAACAGTTAGTCAGGGAAAGAGTTAGTCAAAGAAAGAGTTAGTCAAAGAAACAGTTAGTCAAAGAAAGAGTTAGTCAAAGAAAGAGTTAGTCAAAGAAAGAGTTCGTCAAAGAAAGAGTTCGTCAAAGAAAGAGTTAGTCAAAGAAACAGTTAGTCAAAGAAACAGTTAGTTCGTCGAAGGTTCGTCAGGGAAAGGGTTAGTTAAAGCAAGAGTTAGTTAGGGCATTGATTGTTCCCGCAATGCAAATGGGATTGCAAGTGGTGCTGCCGGATGAGTTGCCGATGGAGTTTTGAAGGAAGTCTCGCACGAAATGCATTTTTGAGAGATAGCAGATGCAGGAAACCCTATGTTTTTCCATACAAAGTCTGTCCCCGAACCTCGATGATCTACCTCTGCGGTGCGACGGGTGCGAGACGGTCTCGTGTGTGGTCGGATCATCCTCGGATCATCCTCGGATTGGTCTCGGATCGGTCTCGGATCGGTTCCGCATTGTACATGGGGTTTCAACTGTTTTTCGTGCATGTGTGGTCGACAGAATTCCATTGTGATTTGCAACTGTAGGATCGTTCCCGCATTGTAAATGGGGTTGCAAGTGGTGCTGCCGGATGAGTTGCCGATGGAGTTTTGAAGGAAGTCTCGCACGAAATGCGTTTTTGACAGATAGCAGATGCACGAAACCCTATGTTTTTCCATACAAAGTCCGTCCCCGAACCTCGATGATCTACCTCTGCGGTGCGACGGGTGCGAGACGGTCTCGTGTGTGGTCGGATCATGCTCGGATCATGGTCGGATCGGTCTCGGATCGGTTCCGCATTGTAAATGGGGTTGCAAGTGGTGCTGGTGGATGAGTTGCTGATGGAATTGCACTGTGATTTGCAACTCTAGGATCGTTCCCTTACTGTAAATGGCATTGCAAGTGGTGCTGGTGGAGGAGTTGCCGATGGAGTTTGGAAGGAAGTCTCGCACGAAATGCGTTTTTGAGAGATCCCCGTTGGGCGTCCCTGGATAGGATTCGGGGGGTCTGGCCCAAAAAATATCCAGGGCCACTAGGCCCTATCAGTTGTACCAATGGCGCTCCAACCTCACCACGGGAATTTTATCCAAAAACCCCTTTCAAAACATCGTATATTCACTTACCTGGCCTCTATGAATTTTATCCACCAGCACTTGCTCCAAAGATTCTATATTCACTTACCTAGTCTCCATGAATTTTATCTACCAGCACTTGCCTCAAAGATTCTATATTCACCTACCTGGTGTCTATGAATTTTATCTACGGGCACTTGTCCAAAGATTCTATATTCACTTAAATACCCTAGCACTATGAATTTTATTCCCAAGAAATCTTTTCATTTCCCTGGGGGCCAAGGCCATGAAATCTACGAACATGAAAAACCGGGTTTGTGCTGGCAGGATTCTTTCCTGACCCTGTGCCCGAAAAATTATCCCTCTAGGACATTTTTTCAGCCCCAACTTTGGCATTTTCAAAGTTCAGTGGGTTTGTCCCATGGAAAAATATTTAGCGACACTGGGGTTGCAACCAAAGAAAAGTGTGGAGTTTCTCGGAGCAGAGTTTGTTGGAGACTGCAAAAGGATAAACAGGACTTTGGCCACTTGAACTTTATCCAGATATGTTTTGTGCCAGAACCATTGCCAATGGGTAACCAATGTCCCAAGACACACCACAAAACCTCAGACCCCAAGATTTTCATCTCACACATCCCTGTTTTGAACTTTGCCGGAGCAGCTCTCCATAGTATACCCCACACGTGTGCCAACCCTGAACCAATGTCCCAAGACACACCACAAAACCTCAGACCCCAAGATTTTCATCTTACACATCCCTGTTTTGAACTTTGCCGGAGCAGATCTCCATATTATACCCCACATGTGTGCCAACCCTTGCTGAACCAATGTCCCAAGACACACCACAAAACCTGAGACCCCAAGATTTTCATCTCACACATCCCTGTTTTGAACTTTGCCGGAACAGATCTCCATATTATACCCCACATGTGTGCCAACCTTGAACCAATGTCCCAAGACAGACCACAAAACCTCAGACCCCAAGATTTTCATCTAACACATCCCTGTTTTGAACTTTGCCGGAGCAGATCTCCATATTATATCCCACATGTGTCGCAACCCATCCTGAACCAATGTCCCAAGACACACCACAAAACCTCAGACCCCAAGATTTTCATCTCACACATCCCTGTTTTGAACTTTGCCGGAGCAGATCTCCATATTATACCCCACATGTGTGGCAACCCATCCTGAACCAATGTCCCAAGACAGACCACAAAACCTCAGACCCCACGATTTTCATCTCACACATCCCTGTTTTGAACTTTGCCGGAGCAGATCTCCATATTATACCCCACATGTGTGGCAACCCATCCTGAACCAATGTCCCAAGACACACCACAAAACCTCAGACCCCAAGATTTTCATCTCACAGATCCCTGTTTTGAACTTTGCCGGAGCAGATCTCCCTATTATACCCCACATGTGTGCCAACCCATCTTGAACCAATGTCCCAAGACAGACCACAAAACCTCAGACCCCAAGATTTTCATCTCACACATCCCTGTTTTGAACTTTGCCGGAACAGATCTCCATATTATACCCCACATGTGTGCCAACCCATCTTGAACCAATGTCCCAAGACACACCACAAAACCTCAGACCCCAAGATTTTCATCTCACACATCCCTGTTTTGAACTTTGCCGGAACAGATCTCCATATTATACCCCACATGTGTGCCAACCCATCCTGAACCAATGTCCCAAGACAGACCACAAAACCTCAGACCCCACGATTTTCATCTCACACATCCCTGTTTTGAACTTTGCCGGAACAGATCTCGAATCTCCATATTATACCCCACATGTGTGCCAACCCATCTTGAACCAATG